GGCGCGGGGGCGCGGGGCCCCGCTGGGATCGATGCAGGCGGCCGCGCCGGCCGGGCTCTGCGGCCTGGCACCCGGCCCGGGCAGGACCCACCTCCGCTTTTCGGGTAATTAATTTATAAACAGAGGCGGCGGCGGAGCCTCGGGAGGCCCGGCCGGGAGCAGGATGGAGAGCCGGGGGGAGCAGCGTGCGCCACACGCGCTGAGGGCCTGGATGTCGCGGGGGCCACCTGGGGGCCCTTGTCCTGCCGTCTCGCTGTGCTTAGACACCCCGCCCATTCTCGTGCTCTCTTGCGCCCTTGCCCGTCCCCCCAGCATCTGTGGCTCTTGCTGCGATTTGTCTCTGTCCCAACGACCAGCCAGCCCCCGGGGGTGTGGGACGGGCTACCCCTGGCGCCGCTTCTCCTCGGTGTCCCGGTCAGTGTCCTGAGCTCGCCAGGATGGGGGAGCGTCCGGGACAGCACCGTCTCAGAGTCATTGCTGTTGTCCCCCCCAGAGCTCCTGAGGGTCCGGCAGGAGGCGGCAGCTGCAGCTTTGAGGAGCCCCGGTGGCCTGGAGGTCCACCTGCCCTCGTCCGCAGCGGGTCAGCGTCGGAAGCAGGGCCTGGCTCAGCACCGGGAGGGCCCCGCTCCGGCTGCCGCCGCGTCCTTCTCGGAGAGGTACCGGGGGCTGCATCCGGCAGAAGCGCGCGTGTTCTCCGAGCTGGTTCTCGGGGTGGGCACCGGTGCCCCTAGTGTGCCCCGCACTGTGCTCAGCTCTGGGCTTAGGGTCTGCCGGGCAGAAGGTCCCTGGTGCCGGCTGAGCCCCGCCCTGGGCAGGGCCGCCAACGGGGGACCCACTGGGACAGCTGAGGGCTCTGCTCCCCCACAGGTGGGGGGGTTGAGGCAGATGGGGGGTGCGGTGGCGGCGACAGAGGGCAGAGAAGGGGAGCAGCTCGAGGCCTGGAAACCCCGAAGTCAGTCCGGAGGACTCCGGGGCGTGGGGGTCGGGAGACCCGGGTGGTTGTGGAGGGGCCGGGGGGCCGCCGCCTCGGGCGGAGCGTGGGGTCCCTGGTGCTGGCGCCCGCCTGCGCGGTAATTACCGC